GAAATAACACAAGAAAAGAGGCTTTGCACCACAGCGTGTACCATATGTACTGCGGCATGTGACACAGAGGTAAGGGCTCTCTGTTTGTGCCATGTGTTGCGGCATGTTGCACCATGCACCATACAATGATCGATCAACATCTGTAAAAATTCATCTTGAAATATATTTTGTTACATCAGTAAAAAAATAGTCAATTTTTATTTAGGTGTCAACTAAAAGGTCAATATTTAAGAGATTGGATGTATTAGTCACTTTTACATTAACTCTGATAACGTTATGGGTATTTTTGCTCCTGGTCAATGACTTCATAGATATTTTTGTCTCTTTTTTAGTCCACGTCAGTAAAGACTGACAGGTGGCATGTATAGTCAGCATTTAATAGTTAAAGTTAACGGTCTAGTTACTTTTGCGCCCATTCATGTAACGTTATAGGTATTTTTGCCCTTTTTGTCACTTTAAGATACTAGGTGCCTGTGGCTGATTACTTTATGAGTATTTTTATCCCTTTATCCTTTTTTATTATTTATATGAGTTGATATGATTCCAACTTTGATTAAATTTATCTAACTTACAAGAGAGTTGTAACATCCTAAAAATTTTAAGACTCAAATTTATTTAAAAAAAATAAATAAAAATAAAATAAAATATCTATAATTAAATTAAAATTTAGAATAATTTAATGGAGGCCTAGAGTTTGAATTTTACTAAGCAAAAGTTTGGTTTTATTTGATTTTTAACTATGGGAAAAATTACCAAAGTTGACCTGGGCTTTTGTGCAATAATAAAAAATGTTGGGCCCTTTCTTGTAATTTTCCCCAAACTTTTTGACCAGCATTTTAAAGGCCAAAACTGATGCAGAAACGTAGAGAAAATGAGAAAGGAAAGAAACGCACAAACGGGAGAGAGAGAGAGAGAGAAGAAGAGAAGAGAAAGGGAGGGAGTTAGGCTTGGATCTAGGAGTCTTTGCGACCGTTGCGAGCTCGGCTACACGATAGGTAAACTCCCTACTTCAATCCTCTTCTCTTTCTCTTGATTTTCTTCAATTTTTGGAAGAGAAAATTTTTGGATTTTGATCCCAAAGGCTTTATTCTTGTAAGCTTTTGTTTCTTTGGATCCTAGAGAGCATGTTTTGAGTTTCTATATAGTGATCTAATATTTTGAGTGGATAATTGGATGAAAAGAGGTGTTTTGGGCACAAAATAAACCTTGAGAAATTGGGTTTTTGCTCCTCAATGGTTTAAGCCTATTGATTTAGTTATAATTTTGCTATTTGAGCCCAATAAGATTTAAATTAAGGTTTGGTTTTCATTATAAGGGCTAATGGTGAAAGTTGGTGGCACTAAGTAAAGGTTTTTAATTGATTAAAAAATTATATAAATTGAAAATTAGCCTAGTGATGGCTAATAAATGGTTTTGGTGGTTAAGTGATACTATGTGAATGGTTGGTTTAATATATGGACCATTAGGGTGGATTATGACTCATAGAGCCAAGTTGTGTGGTATGAGTTATAGTCTTCATTAATGCTATTTGTCATGATAAGTGATGTGGATCACTTATATGTTGTAGAAAATTGTTGGTGGAACTTATTGAGAAGTAAGGAACAAGCCGAGCCCTATTTTGTACAAAGGGAACCCTTTTGGTACCAAAGGGTTGAGGTAACAGGGGAATTTATATTTCTTATTACTTTGTTTTAGTTATTTTTGAATAAATATTACTAGTTATCATGCATTACATGTTTTAAAAGATTAAATGTGCTTTATAAGGGGTTATGGGATACTACTTTGATTATAGTGCAAATATGTTTTCTAATTGTTTAATAACAATGTTTTAATGGAAATGAGATTTATAAATATTATACTACTTTAGAGTGTTGAATGGTCAATACTCAGGAAAGGTAGACAAGAGTAAAAGGCATGATCTCGGTGGGAGTTCTCCAATGAGAAGGTGTGGATTTTTGATATTCTATGGCACACTATCAGTACTCAGTGTTGTCTTACGTATTGTGGGCTCAGTGCACTAAAGTGGTTAATATATTGAGTGTTCGACACCTCTCAGTGGGGGAGGGAATCCGACATATGAAGTGTGAGGTTGAGTGCCTAGGCCAAGGTAGCCCTCACATGGAGAGTAAGTCAGGCTGGCTCTGGGAGGGAGTTAGCTTTGACTGCTCAGGATTCACGTCGAAGGGGCATAAGCGGTTCGGTGGATTAGATTATGCCTTAGATTATGTTTTGTGCCTGTGGAGGTACAAGTAGGTATAAGGTTTACCTGCGAGTTAAAGAGTGCCAAGGGGCATTCTGTTGGTCATGAAAGGCCATACCGGCCTAGGTCATGCATTCATGCATTTTAAATGGCTAAATTATATACTATGTTGAATTTATTATTCGTTTATTTGATTATGGCTTACTTTGTAATAATCAATGTAAATTTTGCTGTTACTGAGACTGTGGTTGTCTCACCCCTTTCTTTTCAATATTCTAGGTCCAGGCGAAGGATCCAGTGGTGGACGGGGAAAGGAGCAAAGCTAGGGGTTTGCTTGTGATTTGTAAAGAACTGCAACCCCTTTCTTTTGAGCAAATATATTGTAATGTATTTAAGATTAGGGTGCCAGTAGGATATGATTATGTGTGTGTGTGTGTGAATATGTGTGTGGATTGTGTACTTGTGTATGAATTTTTGTCTGTTTGCAGACTTATGGCTAGGAAACTTGGTTATGGTGCGTGGTTTTGATGGATTTATTTAGTAGACCAAGTTTCTATTACAAGCAGATCTTTATTTTGATATATATGTGATTTTATAAGCAAATGCAAAGTGGTTGCATTGCAAATGGTGTGCTATGGGAAAACATACAGCTTGGATAGAGAGAGTGGGTGCGTGGGCCCCACAAGGAGCTCCGAGTCAAATGAAAATGTTTAGCATATGTATTTATATAAATACATGGTATTTGGATTGATTTGTGACCACTCTTGTATGATTTGTGCATTTTGGGGGTTTAGGATCCATTTTGGGAAATGGCACCTAGGTGGTCAAATTTTGGTGTATGGGGGTTTTCCATCATTTGAATGTTCTATCAGGTGTTTTTAATCTTATTTGACGTGTCCAAAGTGTTTTCACAGGTTTGTGACCATTAGAATGGGATTTGGACAATTTTGAAAATGGTTTTTACCAAAAAGCTGCACTTTTACATCCGGATGTCCAAATCTTAATCCGACCGTTGGATTTCTCTAAACTTTGGGTCACAAGTAAAACCTTTTATAAGCTTCGTGTGGGCTTTGAAATCACGTCGATCGGATATCGGACGGAGAAACGACGCACTCCGGAATTTGGTCTGGAGGTGCTGTCATGACAGCATTAAATTGCTGTCATGACAGCTACAGTATTAATTTTATAACCTGCACAAAATTCAATCCGTCCGTTGGATCTTTTCAAAATTTAGTATGCTAATAGTATTCTTTAAAAGTGACATGTGGGCTTTGGAATCACTCCGATCGGAGGTCAGATGATGAAATGGTGCACTCCGGAAGTTGGTCCGGAAGTGCTGTCATGACAGCTTTTTAGCTGTCATGACAGCAAAAATAATCAAATTTTTAACATGTCTAATTTTAAATCCGACCGTTGGATCTTTTTGAAATTTGGTATACTTATAGTACCCTTTGAATGTGACGTGTGAGCTTTAAAATCACTTTGATCGGAGGTCGGATGGCGGAACGACGCCTCCCAGAAGTTGACTCGGGAGGGTTGTCATGACAGCAATTTAAATGCTGTCATGACAGTATCTTTTTATTTCTCTTTCGTCTAACTTGCTTCCGTACGCTATAGTTAGAACCTATAATTTTTTTTAAGGTTTTAAATGTTTACTTTGCAATCGTATATTTGCTTAGTGATTTAAATGGTTTGTTTCCTAAGTTGGTTTTAGGATTAACTCCTTAACCACACTTAGTTTATTTGAATTGTGTGATTTTTGGATAACACTCGGGGCAAGTGTTACAAGAGTCATAGCAAATTGTCACATATTTAAAATTGGAATTTCTTTAAACTTGTATTTTTTTTAATTTAAGATTTTTTATTTAATTAGGTTTATGATTTATCATTTAATTCTATTAATTTCTTTGAATTTATATTTTTTCTGGGATGTTAATCATAAATTTTATTCCAATTATGGTCCAATGAGATCCACATGCAAATTACATTACAATATTCTAAAATTTAATTATTTTATATCAAAAAGTAATGAATATGGTTGCCTGGTCCAAAAAGTTTACTGAGTAATAATAGCTTTTACAAAAAAAAAAAGAAGTAATGACAGCTTATTTTCACATTTAAAAAATATAAGATATTTTTAATTAAATTTTACTATCAATAAAATAATTATTTATCTTTAAACTAATCATATCTTTTCATATTTATCCTTATTTAATATGATGTTTTACCTTAAAATAATTAAAAGTTATTTATTTAATATAAGTACTTATGGAAAAAGATAATAATTATATCTTAAAAAGATAAAAATATTTTATATTTTTAAATATTTAACTTTTTAAAAAATGTATTATATTTTTTAACGGAGGGAGTGAAATATATTCTTTCAATTTCAAAATATAAATAGATTTTAGGAAAAACTTACATATCAATAAAATATTTATTTTTATAAATATATACATTATTTTTATTTTAATCATAATTATTGATGTATTCATAAAATGAGAAATAAATATATATAATGATATAAGTTAATAAATATAAATGATAAAATAGAATTTTTTTTACAATGGCTTATATTTTAAATAAAAATTAGTTAAAAATATTTATATTTCGAATCAGAATGTAATTATATTCCTGACAAATAATTTTTAAGTTTTTATATTCCTGACAAATAGCGTTTAAGTTTTTAAATAATATATTTTGACAATTGCTTCGTTCTAAAGTTTGTATTCTGGCAAATAAAAAAATAAAACGTTAAATGTGCAAATTAATTAGGAAGCTGCCATAGAGACAGTACAGCCAATGACCGAAGCTACCTGCACTAATAGACCTGAAACACGGAGAAGGAGAAAGAGAAAGCGAGGACAGAGAGAGAAAGCGAGAGAGAGATGTTATACTCTGTCTGATCTCACAAATCCAAATCGTCGGTCTTCTCCTTCTCCTTCCCCTTCTTCTTCTTCAGAATCCGTAATTCTTTAGTCAATTCTCAAATATGTCTCTGAACATGAAAACCCTAACGCAAGCCTTGGCGAAAACCGCGGCGGTCATCGAGAAGAAGGTTCAGACCACCGTGCAAGAGGTCACCGGACCCAAGGCTCTCCAGGACTACGACCTGCTTGATCAGATCGCATCCGCCGGGCCTGGTCTCGCATGGAGGCTTTACTCGGCGAGGCCTAAGGAGCCATCGCGGCAGCAACAGTATCCCCTTGTTTGTGTTTGGGTACTGGACAAACGGGTACTGTCCGAAGCGAGAATGCGTGCTGGGCTGACCAAGGCAGCTGAAGATTCGTTTTTGGATTTGATTCGGGCCGATGCGGGTAAACTTGTGCGATTGAGGCATCCGGGGGTGGTGCATGTGGTACAAGCGTTGGACGAGAGCAAGAATGCGATGGCAATGGTGACTGAACCTTTGTTTGCGTCGGTGGCTAATACTCTTGGGAATTTGGAGAATGTGACCAATGTTCCTAAGGAGCTCAGGGGAATGGTAGGTAGCAGTAACTCAGTTGAATTTTCTATTTTAGTGAATGAACGTTTGAACTTTTGGTTGTTTTGTGTGATCTAGTGACTGAATGTTGGGATTGCAATATGTTGGTTCATGATATGGTGTTTTATATTTTATGTTTGCAAAACGCTATACCGTTGAATGCTCGCCAAATCGAACATTTGGTTTTAAGATAGGCTGAATTATTCTACCGTCCTGGTGCTCATCGTCTGTCATCTTATGCTCGAATTCCATAGTGTTTCTACTCGCTAGGTCGAAATAACATGTTTGGTTTTGCAACTAAACGTAGTGCTACTCTTATTGACTGGCTTTTGGTTTTGAATTTGAATTTTGTGCCATGATTTCATATTTTCATGTTGTTTAATTGTTTTAATGTTTCAATTAGTGTGTGGTTTGTAGTAGTTGGTCAATAGGGGGCAAATTATGGAGTCCTTTTTCTTCAAGTTGTTTCTTTCGTCCTTTTCAAAACCAGCAGAAAATTACAATGATGCCCATCAAACTAGTTTGATTCCCTTATTTTAAATTTATGCATAGGATTATCAATCCTTGGTGCAAAATTGGATTGGCCTGCATCTGAGATTATTTTAGAGCCTTTACTTGTTTGACCTAGTTTTAAATGTTCTGACTAGGCATATTCAAGTGAAATTTTGAATTATATGGTTTTTGTAGATGATATAATTCTTATTGTAAAATCAAAGGAAGAGATTAACCCTAATTTTGAGTTATGGAGAAGGACCTTGGAGTGAAAGGATTTTCGCCTAAGTAGGAGTAAGTTGAAATATATGCATTAAAATTTTGATAAGAGATTAGTTAATAGTAATTTGAAATTGAGATTAGGATGTTAGATCGTACCACAAGTGGAAACATTTACATATTTGGGAGCAATTATTCAAAATGATGGGGATATTGTACATAGGATGGAAAGTAGGTGGTTCAAATGGAGAATGACTACAGGAGTTATTTGTTATCAAAATGTACTTAAAAAGCTTAAAGGGGAGTTTATCTAATTGCTATAAGACCATTCATGTTATATGATAGTGAATGTTGGGATTTAAAAGGAGAACAAGAGTATAAAGTTGGAGTAGCAGAGATGAGGATGTTGAGATGGATGTATAGGCATGCATGAAAAGAAAAAATTGGTAATGAACATATATAAGAAAAAATGAGTGTGACATTTATTGAGAAGAAGATGATAGAAAATCATTTGAGATGGGCATGCATGGAGAAGGCAATGGGAGGCACTTGTGAAAAGAGTGGAATAGGTAATCTCATCTTATGAGGAGGGGTAAATGAAAACCAAAGGAAACATTTGGGAAAGTTGTTCAATGATACATTTTGGTTAACAATATATCTAAAGGCTTGGTTGTTGATAGAGTAGAATGGCATTATGCAATCTTTGTAGTTGATTCCGCCAAGTGGAATAAGGCTTGTTGTTGTTGTTGAGTACCTCTTGCTAAATGAAAGATTTGACTTTGGAAGAAGTTTTTTTGTTTCCACATGTGCTTCACAAGTAGGATTCTAGCTCATCACTATTTAGCCGGCCTATTGCATTACTAGATAGCTTAACTTACACTACTTGTATTGGTGTGATTTAAGGATTGGGCAGAGTTATTTGATTGGTGACTAAAATTTTGGCGTTTTGTCCAAAAGATGGACCTGCATATTCAATCCATGCGTCAGAGTCTTGTAGTGTGTTATAGAATTACAGTATAAAGGAAAGATTATGCATATGCGCTTGCACATGTTTTCTTTTCCTTTTTACATTACTTGTCAAAATATACTAAATATCATATGTAAATTAAACTAAAAAGATGCAGTTTTTAATTGAAAAATTCAATTTTCTTAAATTTTCTTGTTCTTTAGTTATGTCCTTACCAAAAAGTAAGGCACTTAGAAGCTAGAACAATTGATTAAAATGGCTTTCATTCTTGCTTAATTTAGTTGTGGACTTTCATTTTGATCATGAACTTAAAGTGCAGTCTTTTATGGGTGCCTATGTACTGATTACATGCTGATGTTTCTCATGCATTTGGTTCTGTTAGGTGCATGCTTGTATGTTTCTTTCTTTGTGGTCCCCACTTATTTTGCTTCCACTCTGTCTGAACACACATTTGTGTTTGCTTATGAAATTTGTTAAAAAATCTGCTATCATGGAGAAATATCATATTTTAGGTTCCTATTATTATTAATATTAAAGACCATTTCAACCCAAAAGCCTGTTAGGCTGCAAAAGTGGTTAAAGCATGAACTCTGTATACCTTGTACCTTATTAATGTCCTTAACTTCTATTTTAACGTTGAGATGGGTATATCTTAAAATATCTAACGCATTCATTTATTGTTTTCTGCACTTACAATTAAAATTACTACATTCACAATTGCAATTTTATGGGGATCTCTTTGCTACTAAAAAGGATTTATTTGCAGGAAATGGGACTGTTGGAAGTGAAGCATGGCTTACTTCAGCTAGCAGAATCGCTGGACTTTCTGCACAACCATGCTCATCTTATTCATCGAGCGATATCACCTGAGGTGACAGCTTTTTCTCTATTCATGAATCTTTTTCATTAGTTTGGTATAGGTTGGTTTGCTGGTAATTTTTGTCATGTTCCAAAGAAATAGTCCAGCCAGTGGCCTCGAACGAGAAGTGATATATTGCAATGGAATATTTTAGAGTTTTCCTTTTACATTTGATGTGCATGATTTCTGTTTTAGCAGTTGCCGCTTATTCATGGGTTAGCATGATCAAATCAGCGTAGTTACTTTTTTTCATCAAGATTATGATGTCATTATGAGAATCTATATGTTGAAGAGATTGATGCTTTTAAAATTTCTTTTCATCTAAATTTATTGCTCATTGATTCTTCATTCCTCTCTCTTGGTGAAATTATTCATTAAAATATGGAATCATATCTTTGATTTTTTTTTGAACATGAAAAACAATTTTTTTTAAGTCTTTGACATATGGATTATATTTATTTTAAAACATAAGGACAAATCCAGATTGGTTGGCTCGCCATGCTTCTCATGATAGTTTAGATACTAGGATTTTTTATGACCCACCCCATGGTTGCAGATCCCTTATGTGGCCTATTGTGACTTGATTGTAATCACTTTGCATGATTTTCTTTTTTTGGTGGATTTTTCAAAGTAGTCACAGGAAAAAAGAGTTGAGTAAAGCAAGATGCTAAAATAGGAAAGAATTCTAAAAATATGCCATATAAACTAAAATAAAAATCAGTGTAAGCTGTAGCAACGTAAACTATTTTAGTAATATCGCTTTCAAACATAATAACTGTTAAGTCATAACTTTTGTTATTTTTTAAATGGACTTATAAAATAATCAAGTCATTTATCAGATATAAAGTTAAGCAGTTAATGTTACAACCTAAAAGACAGCAATGCTAGCCATGGTAAATGTAGGTAAATTGCAGTCACGTCCAATAATATTGATATGAGAAATTGAAAAGGTCTTAGAGCCCTGTTAGTATAGTCATCTGGACCATCAGTTTCGGATCCCTGATGGTCAAAGAGGTTGTTGAATCTTGATTTAGAGGTTCCAGTCAGTGAGGGATCTTCTTCTCGAGCACTCTCACTCTCTCGATCTCTCTATCTATCTATCCATTTGTAATATGTGTGGTCTCTTGTGTCATTTTTTGTTTGTTCACAAAATGTTAGTAAACTAAATAATATTTTGTAATATGGGTGTTTTAGCCTTCAGAGGTTTTGCGCCTCAAGCATGCCTTTCTCATTTGACTACTTGGTGACCTTGGCATCATTGCTTAAGTGACATGTATTCTAGTGTGAATACTTGATCTTTTGTGTTCTATCACAAAATACTGGATGAGATTATTAAATGCAAATTTCATTATATTTTTCCACAGAATATTCTTATCACCTCAAGTGGAGCTTGGAAACTTGGCGGATTTGGTTTTGCTGTTTCAGCAGCTCAGGCCTCCGGTGACTCGACTAATCTGCAAGCTTTTCATTATGCTGTGCGTGAAACATTTTATATAATTATGGTTTATCACTTTTTTGTCCGCTTCTTTATTGCACAAGATACCCTGTAATTTTATTGTTGATCATGGGATAAACCGTTTGGCTTCAATAGTTTTTTGTTCCATGGATTGTTGGTATCATTATTATGGTCACTCTAGAGAACTTGGATAAGATCTAAGTTTGTATAATATAATTCGCCAGTGAGATTTATTGGAGCAATTCACGTTGTTCATTTCATCATCTTCATCTTATTTTCTTTTATTCATCCACCTCTTTTTTATGATTGATTATAAATGATTAGTACTGCATGTTATTGATTGTAAATGGCTGGGGAGATTATGCTGTAATTATTAGTCATCAATATGTTGTCTTTCTATTCTCATTATAAATAAGAAGCTTATGTAGATCATCACTTACTACAATTTCCATTATATTCATTCTTTCTCATTTCTCTCTTGTTCTTTCTCTTCATAGGGCTCTATAAATAGCCTTAAGGTTATTTCTTTTAGACCTCATTAGTGAAATGCTATCTAGAGTTTTTTGCTGCCAGCATTCTCTCCCACTCTCTTTTCTTGCTCTATCTCTCGTTCTCCTTCTTTCCCCTTCTTGCTTTCCCTAGTCTCCCTTTGCTCCCCACCAACTCTTGGCATTTTGTACCTGTTAAGCATGACCATTCTTTTCAGGAATTGTTGAGTCAGCTTTGTTGTGACAATTATGATTTTTTTTTTGATAATTTCTATCATCTTCACCAATAATTCTGTTTAATCTTGCTCTTATCATTTGAAACAGTATCTTATTTCATTTGATTGCTGCACAGGAATATGATGTTGAGGATTCTATTCTTCCACTTCAACCGTCACTTAATTATACTGCTCCTGAGCTGGTGAAGAGCACTGTTTCTTCAGCTGGGTGGGCTTCTGATATTTTCAGTTTTGGTTGCGTTGCTTACCATTTAATTGCTCGCAAGCCTTTGTTTGACTGCCACAACAATGTGAAGATGGTATATATGAATCCATGGTCTACCCATTTCATAGACTTGAGCTTATATTTAGCTTTGTGCTGTCCTAAAAGTTTTCTAAAACTAAAGTCTTGTATAGTTAATGAAGGAATAATTGTGCTATTGTGCTAGTGCATGCTAGTGGTACTTAGTTGGATTTGTACTTCATTGGCATCCAAGCATGTTGTGTAACCTTTGTTTTTGGTAAAGGTAGCTATTTAGGAGAGAGAGCCACTTTAATTACCCTACTGTTCAGCCATGTCTCAACTTGGGACTTAAGCATCCCTTACCCTTGGTCCCCTATCAATTGATTGCCCGAAGCGTAAAGTCGATCTCTTGGTGGTTACATTGATCAGAAGTCCAAATTTAGAGATAATTAATGCTTTTATTTATGTTCATCCTCGATTATTACCAGCCCATTCTGAAATCTGAAACATTTTTGTGAGGTCAAATCTGTTGTTTGGACAGTAGTATTAAAAGGATTAAGTATCATTGACATGTCACAGCTCTGATCTTAGATAACGATTTCCCTTAAAATGTTATATGTGTAAGGATATTTTTGAAGCGATTGCTGACTTCACTAAACATGCAATTATTCTTGTTTTATCAAAAGAAAAATAATAAATAGAAAGAAAGAAAAAATGCTGACTGCACTAAACATGAAATTCGAGGACACCATGTAAAATGAATTGGCTATAGTATCAAATATTGCATACAATTACATATTCGTTTAGATTACTATCAAAATGCCATGATAGATTCAAATTTTTCCCATTGACGAAAATAACATTTCTGTTTTTTCTTAACCATCTGTAAGTAATGAGAAATTCTGGAATTTTACTTCTGCAGTACATGAATACCTTGACTTACTTATCCAGCGACACATTCTCATCTATTCCACCGGAGTTGGTTCCTGATTTGCAGAGGATGCTATCTTCAAATGAGTCTTCAAGACCAACTGCAATGGATTTTACAGGTAAAGGTAGCTTCTTGTTGGATGTTGAAATTTCATTCTATACCCATTCGTTGATTGATAATTGATAAACTAAAATGGTATCAAATCATAACTGAAAACAGAAAGTGAAGATTGCTTATGAGATTCGTTGGTTGCCTACTTTGTTAAATAGTCTGATTAAAAATGTCTTGGAAGGTGATGAAAACTTGGAATGTATTAATAGATATTGGGAAAAGAGTTTGAAGAGAAAAACAGATTACAAAACCACTCCCCTCTGTTACAGCTGAGATTACGCACTGAAAATGGGAAGGAAAAATGAAGAGAATTCAAAACAAGACTCCTCCCTTCAAAGAGTCTGGACCCTGTCCCTAGCAACACAAAGGGCCAAAACCTCACATAACCTGTCTACCACTGCTACTGATCCCTCAAGCCTCTTCCCTGCCCCCCACATTCTATCGCTTTAAGAAAACAAACAAAAGTTAGTCGCCTTTGCCTGGGTCTATTTTCTGCCTTCAGTGCCGCTTCTGAAGTGGTTCCTGTAGCCATTTCCCTCCAGCTGGTCCCTTTACATTTCTGCTAGTATAAACTTGACCCACTTTAGCACTGGGCTCACCTGACTCGGTTATTCTAGAATAGTGAGCTACCAATCTACATTGTTTGACTGAAGGCTCCTGTGGAAAGCAGGCATATAGGTCCTAATCTTAATATCAACTAAAAGGAAATGATGGAAGATATTAAACTAAAGAACATTGTGGTTTAGTTTTGTTCACACCTCTTTTTCTTCAAGAAGCTGGTTAAAACATTGGCTTGACCGAAAATCAATCCTGGCTAGATTCATAAGCTAACATTCTTGAGATGAGTGATGGTCTACCTAACAATTGCAGCTGCGGCATTCATATCGAATTGTTCAAAAAGTTCACAAGATCAATTCCCTATGGATAAAACTCTTCAAATTTCAATTGATTGGAAGCTTTTTGGTACCTAAACAGGCTATTCAAAATTCCATTGTAGCTTTAGTTTGATTTTCTAAAACCTGGGATGTCACATGATAATCGTAAAATACCAGAAGAGTTCATTGGGTTTTGAAGTTCTACCAACAACTAGTAAGAATCCAATTACTATGTATGCGAGGCTCAAGTTAATAATTAACCATTTAGAATTGAACAATATGGTGTCTCTGTTTTCTGGAGGCAACATATGGTCCATAAGCATGATGTAGGGAGTTCTGAGTAAACAGAATATTAAATGATGATCAACTATGTAATTGAATCCAGAAAATTAGAATAAATCTATATTATCTGCTTTGTCTCAATTGCTGAATTTCTTATCTTATAATAATGGTTCTAAAAATTTTATGGCAATGTACTTGTCCTTCATTTTTGCAGGTTCCCCTTTTTTTCGGAATGACACTAGGTTGCGTGCTCTGCGCTTCCTTGACCACATGCTTGTAAGAATTTGCAGCTTCACTTGTTAGCAGTTGCTTGTGTGACCGTACAACTAGAAGCGCAATTTGACTGAGACAAACAAAAAGCATTTCAAAAATTCAAGTTCTTGATGATGTGTCTTTCTGTTCTTGCAGGAAAGAGATAACATGCAGAAATCAGAATTCTTAAAAGCTTTGTCAGATATGTGGAAAGATTTTGACAGCCGTGTGTTGCGGTACAAGGTTTGCTCTAAGGCTATGTTCATTTATATGCTTATACAAATCAATTTATCAGCTTTTTGTTCCACTACATAATTAAATTAACTTGCTCTATCAATTACCTAGTCTTCAAGGATGGGAATTCAAATAAAGCATGTCTAATCACTTTTTATGATCATGGATTTTATATTGAGTGGAAAAATAAGGTTATGCTATCTTTTGTGCATGTCAAAATAATTTTTCATATTAAATTACTCTTATTTTTCATTCCTTTTCTTTTGCATTATCGCAGAGTTGGTTCTCTTGTTCCTATTTAATATTATGTGTCTTGCTGATGTTGCTTGTATACTTTGAAATCTAATGAATTTGGGATTATTCTTTATTTTCCATGTTGTACATAATTTACAGACATAACTTGTCTTTCAGGTCCTTCCACCGCTCTGTGCTGAACTTAGGAATGTTGTAATGCAACCAATGATTCTTCCTATGGTTCTTACCATTGCAGAGTCTCAGGTGCTGATAACTCTTCCTCCCGTTCTTTCATATCCACGCCTCCTTCACTATGATCGAATTCCTAAAATGCTTGTTATCTCCTCTTTTTGCATTGAAACCTCTGCATGCTGTTTGATTTAATGAGGTTAGCTAGAGAGAGATCATTTATCCTGATAATTTCTTTGTTGCCTTCATATTAGAATGTCTTTTTTCATTTAAATTTTTATGATGAGATTGGCATCAACATTTGATGCAAGTTTGGTCTTTTTATTTTCTAAGAAAAAATGGTGTTGTATGAGTTATTGATTCAGTTCCAATGACATGTGGTCTTTATATTTGCTAAGAAGAAATGGTGTTGTCTGACTTATAGATTCTGTTCAAATGGCAACTGGCCCTCTTCCTTTAACCCTTTAATCTGAAAAATCTCTCATAACTTGTGACTTCGATTTTGATTTCCTTCCAAGTTTGAAACCCTTCCATCCATGCACGAATACTTTTCTGCCAGATGTGCTGTGCAAGTGGAAAACTGTCTATTACTTGGAGAACTTTATTTGTATTTTCCTTTTTATATTCACACACACACACACACACGCGCGAAATTATGTCTTTTATTTTCTGTATTAGAAGCCTTATATTTATTGTGCCTCACTTTTATATTGTTAGCCTATCTTCTGGAATCTGATCCTATCAAGATTAATGCTTCCTTGTGTTCCCCACCTCAAAAAAAAAAAAAAAAAGAAAGAAAAAAAAAAGAAAAGAAAAGATGATGATCAGTATACCTTGTTTTACTCATTATAATGCTTTAAAGAAATGAAAATTGTGGTCTCTATATAACGGATTGTCATTAAGAGTTAGTGCTATAGCCGGAATGATGAAACTTTTGTTTTGGTTTGTTTGATAATAAGAGTATGGCTAAATGCAAATTTTATTCGGGACAATAATGAATTTATTTGTTATTATGTTTTCCAGGATAAAAGTGATTTTGAGATCACAACTCTTCCAGCACTCGTTCCTGTCCTGAGTGCCGCTGCAGGTGAGACACTGTTGCTACTTGTGAAGCATGCAGAACTTTTAATAAACAAGGTAATTTAATTATTATTCAGTTCATTTATTTGATGATTAAAAATTTCTTACATCAAGGGTCAAGTTGTCTTGAAGCTTTACAATTTCTCTTTTATTGTTTGGGATTATTGTTGAAGTTATCAATGATATTTATAAACCAATAGTAATAAGGTCATTTTTCTTCATTTAGACTAGCCAGGAGCATCTAGTTTCACATGTTCTGCCTATGGTTGTTCGGGCTTTCGATGACAATGATGCTCGTGTCCAAGAAGAGGTTCTGAAGAAATCTATATCCCTTGCTAAGCAACTTGACTCCCAGGTGATGGCTATATCCTGAATGGAAGTTATAGATAATTAGAAGGATTGAGATGTTTTTGGATTTGGCAGATGTTTTAATTTCGTACTCCCAGGTGATGGCTATATCAGTTTTTGAAGATAATTGATGCTTTTTTGGTTATTTTGATTTGAATTAGACATTTTCCTATACATGGCATGAAGTTTAAGGAATGAGCTTTACTGTTCATAACTTCTAGTGTACCTTCCTATAAATTTTATTATCACATTTATGATATAATGGTATTTCAGGATCAAAGTAGTAATCATTATTATATTTTCATTCGTTCAGCTGGTCAAACAAGTGGTTTTGCCCCGTGTGCATGGCTTGGCGCTTAAAACAACAATTGCTGCGGTATGTGCTATTTTGTCCTGACTTTTATCCTTTTATAATTCTAATTTGCATTCCTCAATCTGAGTTCGTTTTGGATTCATTCCTGAGTGCTATCATAGAATGCCACATGGCAGTTATTAGCATGTCCTTTTATGTAAATTCTTAAACCTTTGTTGACTCTTTTCCTTGCTGGCCAAGCTTCTGATTATACCATTTGACATTTCAGATTTTGAGACTTGAGACACAGCGTAATGTAATATCTATTGCTAAGAATTGCACTTTATTTTGGATTGGAAAATGTCGTTTCCCTTTGAACCTTCTCATTGGAGTTGAAGTGAGCCCTAAAAAATTGAAGGAAAACTGGCATTGACGTTGTGCTCTCATGGACTAAGCATTCAGAGCAGTTGAATCCATGCCATTTATAAAGTGACCCAAGTACTTTTACCATCTTAATTGTTTAGGCTACTTAGTTCTTACATACTTAGTAAGCAGTTTGTATCATCAAAATGATCCATGCTGATGAACATTTTGATTCTTATTTATTTAGGTTTTTTAATATGCTGAAACTTGCAGTTTGGTTCTGCATCTGTACAAAACAGATGTTGCGTTAATCCTTAGTCTCACTGCAAGATTCACTGAACTTTATGGTTTTCAAGTTTTTATGTTATCTGCTTACTGATTTGAACGTTTATGGTGATCTTTGTATAATACTTCCCCCCGGCTTTATCTTCCTCAACTCGAATCTCTCAGAATGTAATTTATTTATGTAAACTTGGATGTTTGTTTTTTCTATGGTCTGTTGTACATTCATGTCAAAGAATTACATTTGAATCCTCATGTTTGTATTAAGTTGCCCTCCTCTTTTTTATTTTTTTGGCATATAATATCTAAGACCTTCAGAATTCTCCCTGCCTTGGCCAACAACCCCCTCCGAAAAAAAAAACAAAAAAGAAAAGAGTTTGTTGAGTCAATGAGCCCCTACAGGCTTGCCCGTAGCTGACATTATATAGGTGTTTTGCTGGTTGTTTAACTTATGTATTCAAACCTTAAATTTATTAATGATTTATTTATGGGCTTGACAGGTTAGAGTCAATGCCTTGCTGTGCTTAGGAGACATGGTTAGCCGACTTGATAAACCTGCTGTCCTAGACGTCATGCAGACTATTCAGCGCTGTACTGCTGTTGACCATTCTCCTCCTACCCTTATGTGTACTCTTGGGGTTGCAAATGCTATTTATAAGCGGGTAATGGTTTCAATGATGAGCCTGTCAACTGAAGAAGTTTTATAATTTATTGACAGCTTTATCCAAAGATTTTAGCTAAGTTTTGTTTGATATTTTCTTGTTCCAGTATGGAGTAGAGTTTGTTGCGGAGCATGTTCTTCCATTGATTATGCCACTCCTGATAACTCAACAACTGAATGTTCAACAGTTTGCCAAATATATGCTCTTTGTCAAGGATATGCTTAGGTTTATTTTATTTTATTTTATTTATTTAAACAGACCACCTGTTTCTCAGTCTATTTGGTTCCCATTTGTTAGGGTTCATTTACAAATTAAGAGATTCTCTGAACTTCATTTCTTTAAGTTTTGCTTTTGGTACAGGATGATAGAGGAGAAGCGAGGAGTGGTCGTGACAGAATCTGGAATCCCAGAGGTTACTAAACCATTTCCTTCAGTTAATGGTCTTCACAATGAAGTCACCACTAAAACAAACAGCACTGTTGCTTCTTCCACCACCAAGAGCAGCTCTTCTTGGGATGAAGATTGGGGTAGCACTACGAAAGGAACTACCACTTCTGCCCAAAGCTCTATTGCCAAGTCAAGTCCATTGGTGCCGGGAATTCCAATGGTTCAAATAACATCCTCTCAGCATAACTCATCCTCATCTGCTGTATCTAATCAGCAGCCAACCATGTCTTGCCCCACAGTGGATTTAGAGTGGCCGCCTCATGCTTCTCCGGCTGGTAACCAATATTTTGGTGATTCTGAAAGTCATGTGAGGTCAACAGGAACATCATCTATGTCTGGTCTTGATGACATTGATCCTTTCACTAATTGGCCTCCACGTTCTAGTGGCTCATTAGGTGGATCTGGAATTTCCAGCAATGGTACTTTTGGACCGCCACTGAACAAAAACGGACCTAGTTTAATGTCAAACACTTCAAATGCTATGAATAATCAAACCAACAATAGTTGGCCTTTTAATCCCCCAAGTTCAGCAGATTCAATCGGCCGCTTGAGCCTCGGGAATTCTAGTTTGACCACTGGTAGTCTTCACAGTGGTGTAAATTCTCAGAATTCTCTTGCATTCTTAAAGCAGAGTCAGGGATTTCCGGCACCCAATGTTCCACGCACAGAGAACAAATCAACAGATCTTGGATCCATCTTTGCTTCTGATCAGAATGACCCGATTGCGCCTAAGCTTGCACCACCGCCGTCAACCTCAGTGGGTAGAGGTCGAGGAAGAGGAAGAGGGAGGGGAGCTGGTTCAAGCATCAGGTCCACTCATGCCAGGTCTGAGGAGCCGCCCCTTATGGATTTATTGGGGTAGATCACTTCTTTGACTGAATTAGTAGCGTCGGGGCAATGAATTACGGTTGAGATTGTATTGTATTTCATGTGATCGCTTCTCAATGCTGGAGCGCTTGGATTGGAACATGTTAATTCTGAAGTGAGGCGTTGCAAAAGATCATGCAAGGCAAAGGATATGGCCTCGTTCTGTAAAGGTTTGAGTTTTTCCTTTCGTTTCTTTTCTTTCCTTCTCTCTGTTTTTGGATTATAATCTATAGTGATCTAGCAACAGTTTGAATTATTTTTTCATTTTTTCCCCTTGGTAGATAATATCATTTTTGTATTATTCAGAAAAGTCCAGTTAACGTGGCCTGGGTTGAAATAATAGAGGCAGTCAATATAGTTCCACCTGCCAGAATGTAACCATAGCACGAATGTCCATATGTCTTGTGAACTGTCAAAATGAATCTGTTTTCGCAATTTTGGCATTTGGGATTCATTTTCAGCTCTCTACAATATACTCACTGTCATGTATAATACTTGACTTTGGGGATTTTTATTTGTTTAATTTTTTTTAATATCTGGAATAAAATCTCGTGGCAAGGATTTGATGTTGAATTCTGTGAAGTTTGGAAAGAAAATAACCAGGCTAGGTTGATGAGACATGGGAGAGGGGGGCTATTTATTTGGAGAAATTCTTGCATGGACCCCGTATACCACATTATTTGTATGCTGTCCGATGAAAAAAATGTCATGTTAGATGATTGTAAATAGAAATTGATTCCATCATTGATGATGGCTGAGGGAGAAGGTTAAAAAAATTAAAGAGATATTCTATTCTGAAAGTGAAGTAATTAAAAATAATGACATATATAAGATTTTTTTGTTGAATTGGTGTAATTTTATTGGATAGAGTATGGATAAGATTACATTCTGGTTTCATGCAAGAATTTCTCATTTGTTTGACCCTTACTTTTAGATGTATTTTTATGATAAAGTAAGGATCGATTTCCCCATATTAAAAATATCCTAATTTTCACTGTAAAATGTTTATAGAATATTTGCAGATGTTGTTTCTCTACAGATCAGCTAGAGTATTCTTTAGGTTGAGTTTCTAGGTGTTGGTATTCTGTAAGAAGAATTAGGTTTTGGTAGCATTTGACTTTTTTTTTTTTTTGGTTGGGGGGAGGGGAGAGGAGTTGTCATGCAGGAAATCTCAATTCAGCAATAATCGGGGAATCTGCATTCATCATTTCTCATATATATATATATATATATATGTAATTAGTTCAAATTAGTTAATTTCAGTTTTGATTGAATATAGTATTAGCATGAGTTATTCGTTCAATTAGGGCGAATCAAATTTTCCCCTTATAAAACTATGGTCTAATAAACAAAAATAGATTATATTTGATTCGAAACGGAAAATATCTCAGCTTTTATAACATGACAAAACACATTATTGTGGTGCTTTGTTTTTGTTGATAGAAGAGATGTGATTTTTTAAGAAGAGAGGTTAGGTGACTTAGTTTCCAAGAATTTTTTAAAGGGTGCTTATAGATTGGTAATTAATTAGTCTTTCAGAAGCGTGGTAAGATTTGAACTCATGCCAAGGGATACGGGTTAACTCCCGCCAATGACCTTTTTTTTTTTTTTGGGTCTCTGGTAAAAAATCAATAACAACATTAAGAAATAAGGGTTTACGATATATATGAGTAGTAAATATAGGATATGGGGGCACAAAGAGGAGAAACATCAAAATTCAATCGTGACTATTAGGGTAGTTTGTGGATGGCTTGTACTAAAGGCTGGAGCAAGTAATATTCTCGTGATATCCTTTGAGAAAGCTTCTCGTACAAAGATTGGAGGAAGATACAAACTATTGAGAAAGGGGTTATTATGGAGATAAGTAGTCTTGATTTATGTTAAACAATGGGATTAGTGTTTGTTGGCTCTATAAGGGAGATATATGTGTGTATATATATATATATATAGTATTTGTATAGGTAGATTTGAATTTGAATCTCAAAGTGAAAATAAATTATTAGGAATAATGAGTTTATCTTTATTTTTTAATTGATAAGATATGATGATAAAATATAAGAGAAGAAAATTGAAGAGGTTGATCATTGTGGCTTGGAGGGAAATTGTAAAAAAATTTTAATAAAATATGGATTTAAATTTGAATCAAGTCTAAATTCATAATTTAAATTCATATACTTTTATATATTTAAATTATAGATTTTGATTTCAATTGATGAGAGATGGTAATAAAATATAAGAGGAGAAAATTGAGAGGTTGATAATGGCTTGGAGGGAATTTAAAATTAAAAAAAAATTATAAGAAAATATGGATTTAAATTTGAATCAAGTGCAAATTCATAATTTAATTTCATAAACTTTTATGTATTCAAATTATAGAATTTGATTCAAGTTTAAATTATCATGTATTCAAATACATATAACCCAATAAAATTAGTGTTTTAATTTTATGGGTGCATTATGTACTAAAATCAATGTATCAATTTTATAATTTCGTTGTGATTTAAATGTTATAATATACTTTTCCTTGAAGTAATCTCATACTAATAGTTGCGATCATTCTTTTTTCTCTCTTTATTTTGTCAGGGATTATATTTTAATAGATGAGTAGCTTTATATATTTAATATATTTTTATTTAATTACATTAAGATAAATAAATTTTAATATATTAATAATTTTAGTAACAATAGATTATTATATAATAAATACTTTATAAAAAGATGAAATAAACACTTTAAGTTTATAAGATTAAGTATACAAGTTTTTTTCTATATTAATCCTAAAGTAATTACATATTGAGAAAATTAATTATTATTATTATTATTATTTTTGGTAAATGAAGATTAAACTAATTTTATAGCTCGAAAATCTATCTAGTGTTTAAGATTGGGCTTGGTGGCTTTGGGGATGGTTTAATCGGGAATAAGAGGATTGTCGTCATTGTGAAATTACTGGTATATTTCCTCTCCTTCCAAGAGAAGAAAAGTTTTTCGTTCCTATTATTTTTTTTCCTTTTTTTTTTTACTTTTCTAAGATAAATTGTGAAATGAAAAAAAAAAAAGTTATAATATTGAGGAAGTTAAAGTTTGTTCGTTGGTGAGATCATATGACGGAATTAGAAGATATAGCATATAATATTGTAAATTGTTAAACATGTTGGAATCAAGTTTTTATATTATGACATATTCATATTCTTTGCTTGTGACTTAGAATCTGGATCTTCTCCTTATCCCTTTTTTATTTTTTTTTTCTCTCCTCTTTTTCCCCTTGTCTCATTCCTAATCTTGGATTAAAAATTTAACAGCTAACTAATGTCCTGATACATGGGCGAGATATCATATAATTAGATTAGCATACGTATGTCTTCAAAGTTATTTTCTTGTAGGATAAACTATATTGTAGAGCATCATTGTTGTTACATATTATATGTATTTGAAATCAAAAACGTTAATGTGTTATTTAGTATTTTTTTTTAATTAAGCGCGGTCTTTAGTTGAATTGCATTAATTTGCAACCAATTGAACAAATGATAAATGTGAGTAGCATAATTGTAATTAATTTTGTGTAAGGTATAACACAAAAAAAAAAAATCCATTTTCAATATTTTCAAATATCTCTTGAAATACAAAATTAGTTGTTCTTGAAGATGCCTTAATACTTTTGTCATAGATTAGTATTTTTTAGGCCTTTTGTGTGCAAATTTATTTGGCTCTGACCAAACTGATTACATGTGTTTATGAAATTATAATGGTTAATGTCTTATTTCATTAGTAAAGTATCAAGTGTGTTATTCAATATTGTTTTGAACTATACTTAATAAAATGTTAGAAGAGCATAAAAACAAAAAATATTAATGTTATTTTATAATTTAATGTTCTGAAAAAAAATTCTTCCCCAAGCCAAAAATATTTGTGCTTAGTAAATAAATTAAAAAAAAAACCAAAACAGAACGGTGCGCATAAGGGACAGCCCCCACCACAACTCAAACGGCAACCACAAATGGTGTGAAAAAAAGGCGCTTGGTCTACCTTTCGCGTTGTGGCGGCGCCATCGAGAAATTAGAGAGAATTGATATTTAATTTTTTTTTATAAAACTATTATAATAAAATACAAATAAATAAAAGGCTAAAATATATATTTAGTTCTTTAATTTAACACAACATTTTGTTTTTGTCCCTTAACATTATAAAGTATTCTTTTAATCATTTAACTTTAACACTGTTAGTTTTATCTCAGTAAATTTTTACGTTGAACTTTTAATATTGATAAAACATTTTTAAATGTTGGCATATTAAGTTTAATTTTTTTAAAATAATAATAATTGATATAAAAAATAATCATTTAAAATTAACAATGTTAAGGTTAAAGAATTACAAATACAAGTTATGAATGGCCATTGTCCAGTTGTAAATACCTTTAGTTAAGTTGTAAATGTGCATGATTTGAGACTTGAGAATATTTTATAAATTTTATGAAACTTTTTAGTATTTACTTATGTGGGACTTGGATGTAAAGTTTCCTTTAAATCTCCTAATATTCAAAGGTGAAGATGTGATGAAGTCAAGAAAAAAAAAACAGAAAAAAAAAATAAGGTCAGAGGACAAGGAGGTAGGAAAAGAGAAAGATCATAAGAAACATAGAACTTGTTTGGCAATCTGTGTTGGAAACAATTTTATATCTTCCAAAAATAAAATAAAAAAGAGAAAGATCATGAGAAACATAACTTCTCAGATATGACCTTTTGGGATTTCTTCTGTCTTTAACCCCATAGATCTCATGAAGCTTGGTATGTTCTGTTATAAATTCTTAAGAGTCATCCAATGAAATTGCAACGAAACAAAGAATTAGCTATATGGTGACATAGACAAATCAAGAAATAGTCTCCAAGGATTTCTCATCTTACAAGTTTTTCTCTTTATGTGATGTTAACAGTTGAAGAAATATAAATCAAAAATCATATATTCGTGGATGGGAAGCATTGCTTATATTTCTTTCTTAAAAAAAAAAAAAATCTTTCTGAGATGGAGCTTTTTATATTTCTATTAGTTTCATAACGGCAAATATTATCATAAGTAATAAATAATATAAATATAATAAGTATTCTCTTTACAATAATAATTCAACTCAATGAACTTAGATTACAACTCATAACTATCATCAATGTCATGTATGCCCCCTTAAATTCCTGGGGCAAATTTGTCATTGTATTCTTTTTTCCAAACGTAGGGGTAAATTTGTGTTCAAAACTTATTTACCCTTAAATCCGTGGGGCTTGACAGCTATTTGATAATTTTATGAAATTTTAGGTTTTTTTAAATGCTTTCATGAGATTTTGGAATAATTTTCCAAAAATATTGGGGTTACAAATCCAAGAATCCTTTTTCGACGTGATGAATTGCCTTTTTTCACAAGCTATGTCATGCATAAAAAACAAATACAGAGGAAATCAAGATATCTGTTTTTCTTTTTTCTTTTTGTTTCATAATTGATTTTCTAGACAATCCAAACAGGCACTAACTCTAGCAATATGAGAGAATTATGGTAAATGACATCTTGAAAATCCACGGCCATTTTCATTGAGGATTTACATCTCTGGCATGTTTAGTTTATTCATATCAACTCCAAATTTACCAAAAGTTTTATATAAATAGACTTTAATTTTACGCAATGTTTTTAAAATCTAACTAGCCTGATGACGAGTTTACCAAATGCAAGTTTATGAAGACTAGAAAATATACCTTCACTGACGATATAATTTCTCTCGAGTTTCCTTTCACACAGAATCTGGGTCACACTTTCAAATTTTAGATATATCTTCACAGTAGATACACCATTTCTTTTGAGAGAGAAAGATGTTCAAATTAACTCAATCATTTGTCAAAATTCAAGTGAAGTATGAATTCAAAAATAATGATATGAATTTTAATAGTTCAGATGTTATAAGTATTCAATAACTAAACTAAATACAGTTACCAAATTCAAATCATATCAAATCACCCAATATCACACATTGATATTGGGTGGTTATTTTGTTTATTTAAAAACAAAATAACTACTTCGTCCAAATATTTTGGTAACCATCATAAAAATAAGGGAGAATCACAAGTAAGAATCTTGTAAAAACACTAATGCTAAATTAGGAACTTTAGTACTGAAATTAGTAGAATGAGTACTTAAATTTGGGAATGTCAAAGTTAAAAAAAATCTTAATTTAACATTAATATTTTTATAAGATTCTTAATTGTCATTCTCCCAAATAATTATTTAACCTAACTTGGACTTCCACTTACTTGGCCCAATCCATCAATTGTGCAATCCAACACCGAGTTGTAGTTATATTTGTGAGGAGATATTTTTATAACTACTTTTTGCACAAAATTATATGTGGAGTGTTTTACAATTTTCTTCTCAAGAGAGTTTTACACTTTTTTGTTCAAAATTTTATGAGTGATTATATTTATAATTATATTTTTCCATTAAAAAAAGATTATAGTAGTTATCAAGAAGGTATGGTGTCCTTGTATTGTCCATGCAGTGCATGCAAGTCAGTTGAAAGGGACTGCTTAGTTTATAACTAAAAATCTGATATCATATGAAGAATATAGAAACTAAAATAAAATAATGAAAAAAGACTTGCTAAAACGAGTCGCCTTGCGTTAAGATATCAAGCAATATTTGTTAAAAAAAAAAATCAAAATTTTAAAAACCGTTATATCCAACAGATTTTTTGAACCAATTTTCTAAGCCAATCAAACTAGACAGAACCAATTGAAGAACCTTGTGACGTACGTTTTCAACTAACTGCATGCACCCACATTATGTATGTATGTATGTATGTATGTATGTATGTATGTATGTATGTGCTTCTAAAAATGCTTCTCTTGCATCATCATATCTAACACCCATACCATCTTTTGAATCCTCAATGACATATTCCTCAAACGATGTCTGCTACTCTTTTTTGTCCGAACAATATTATATTATATAACGGAAAAAATATATTTTTAATCTTCTAATTAATTTTATATAAAATTTAAATTTATTTTTTTAATTTTATGAAGTATTTTTTTTTTCAGTCCTGTAACTCTAATGTCATTAGTCTCAAATAATGATTATTTTTTGTGTTAATCATTATTCATATTTTAAGAAAATTAAGCTTAATATATCAACATTTAAAAGTTCAATGTTGACATTTTTTAGTTAATGAAATTAATTTTGTCAGGGTTAAAAAACTAAAATGATACTATTTATAAAATTAAGAAATCAAGATAAAACCCTTTGTGAAGTTAATTAAAGAAATCAAAGGTACTTTCCTACCTATTATAATAACAATATCTTTGGACTCTACAAGATCATATCCAACTCATTTTGTCCCCTATAAATACCTAGCAATCACTCTCACAATTCATCATATCCAAAATTCATCCATTAATTAATATTCTTTCAAACGTACTTACTATATATCACTGATTCATTATTATTCCTTTTGAAAATGACACCAGGATTTGTGGAAACAAATGGCTCAAAGTTTGAGCTGAATGGGTCCCCATTCTTGTTCAATGGCTTCAACTCTTATTGGATGCTGAGTGTGGCTTCTGATCCAAACGAAAGATACAAAGTTTCAAATGTATTTCGTGAGGCTTCAGCTTCAGGTCTTGTTGTATGTCGTACATGGGCATTTAGTGATGGTGGATATCAAGCTCTTCAAATATCGCCTGGTGTATACAATGAGAACATCTTCAAGGTTTTATTACATTCATTATGCAAGAAATTTATGTATGTTAAAATCATTCATAAGCATATATATATATATATATATCTATATATATATATATATATATGTCTTGTCATATACTTTATAAAGTCCCTATTATAGATAAGGCATTTCTAACTACTTTATGGGAATCAATGAGAGATGGTTAGGTTATTAACTTTGTGTGAAAATAAAATGAACTTTCAATTTTACTCCTATTAAAATGAAATTTTTTTGATTAATTTGCTTCATATTTTCTTTTATAATTAATGACTTTAAGTAGGGGTAACGTTAGAAAAATGTAATTAATACCCTATCAACTGTCTTATATTAAAGACTAGAGAATTCTTCTAAAATGTGTCTTATAATAAGGATTGAAGGGAGTATATAATAAAAAATGTTATGGTTTATAATTTTTTTTTTAAAAACGATATGACTTTTAGTTCTTAAATATTTTCAATTTTTGATTTTGTTTCTGAACTTTGATTCCGCCCAATTCAATTGTTGTGGTTTATTGAGTTAAGGAATATGGGGACCTAGTTCTAAGTCAAGAAACTATATATAAGGATTAAATTGATCCAAGTTAAGAAACTATAGGGACCGGTGAGTTATTATACGAGCAAAAATTCAGGGATTGGATTGATAATTAAGGAAAAATTCAAAGACCAAAAGTTATATATATATATATATACACACATACATTTTTGCCTTTTTTCTTATTTGGATATTGGTGACAGACACTTGATTTTGTGGTTGGAGAAGCGAAAAAATATGGAGTGAAATTGATACTAAGCTTGGTCAACAATTACAATGACTATGGAGGAAGACCTCAATATGTGCAATGGGCTAGAGATGCTGGAGCTCCTGTCAACAATGATGATGATTTTTACACTAACCCTATTATTAAGGATTACTACAAAAATCATGTCAAAGTACGTACTTTAAAAATCTTCTTAATTAACTTCTACTCGTTTGTAAAATTCTGTCAATTATCAACATTTCAAAGTCAGACTTGTTTTTTTAATATATTTTGCCAGTAGTTTTGCATTCATACAATGAGAATTGTATATATAAATGTTATGCCAAATTGCTAACTATTAACTACTGATGATAATTTTATCAGAGTGTGTTAACGAGGATCAACACAATCACTGGAATAGCTTACAAGGATGAAGCAGCCATCATGGCTTGGGAATTGATGAATGAGCCACGCTGTCAAGTTGATTACTCCGGCAACACCATCACTGTGAGTTAAAATTCAAGTGTTTTGCTTAATTTTGGAAATTAAATAATTAATATATGTGTGTAACTTATTTATAGTAAGAATGACAATAAAATTCCAAAACTTGGAATTTATGAAAATTAAGTCCCCAAAAAAAATTTTCTAAAAAAATAATTTACAAATATTGATTCAAATAGTTGCAAACAAGAATCGTAATTGCAAATTGAGAGTTATATTTAAAATTTAAATGTTTGGTTTGCAGTAAGAACTTCTGAACTTATGACTATATCTGAATCAAAAATTTATTGCTGATTTTTCAGAAAAATTTGTTGAGTACCTAACTGTCATAAATTTATTGTTTTTGGACTTATTTATACACTAATAATCATCAATGTTCTTTTTTGAATAGACGTGGGTTCGGGAGATGGCTCCGTTTGTGAAATCCATTGACAGCAGTCACTTGTTGGGGGTAGGGATGGAGGGTTTCTATGGAGACTCAATTGCAGAAAGGAAACAATACAATCCTGGTTACCAAGTTGGAACTGACTTCATTACTAACAATCAAATCAATGAAATTGACTTTACCACCATTCATGCTTATCCTGATAGTTGGTAATTTAATTAAACTTGTGTTGATCCATATACACAACCACCATTAATTAGAAATCAAGTTTCTTATTTTAAAAAAGGGTTAAAGGGTAATAAGTCTAGGAGCATCTAAGACTCTAATCTCACTTTTAATGCGATGTTTCCTTCCATTTTAAAATATAGTGCATTGTTGCCCATATTAATAAAGTTAATCATGATTGTTAGTTGATTAGAAAATTATAGAAAGGGATAAAAAAAATTTTCTTGATCCTTTTTTTTTTAAAGTTCTGAGGACATTTTCTGTGATTTTGTGGCAATGAACAGTTAAATTAAAGTTCATATTTGTTACCGGTAAAAGCAATATTATACTATTTTCAAAAATTGAAGGGAAAGTAACATTGCACTAAAAATGAATTCAAGGCCTTAGACACTTTTAAACTTATAATTTAGGGGTAAATTTGCCATTTGATAACCCTTTAAAAAAAGTTGGTTTCATGTTATGAAGAATGATTGAAGGATTAATATATATGGAACCATATCTGAACAGGCTTGCAGGGCAAAGTAATGATGCACAAATGGAATTTATGCAGAGATGGATGACTAGTCATTGGGATGACTCAGCAACAATCTTGAAGAAGCCAATAGTGTTTGGTGAATTTGGCAAGTCAAGAAAGGACCCAGGATATCGTATCACTGCTAGAGACTCATTCATGAATTCTGTGTATTCAAGCATTTACAATTTGGCACAAAAGGGAGGAACTTTTGGTGGAGGCTTGGTTTGGCAACTTCTAGATGAAGGCATGGACTCATATGATGATGGCTATGGGATTGTTTTGTCTAAAGATGCTTCTACACGCAGCATTATAAGTCAGCAGTCTGATAAAATGACAGCTCTCGAGCACTCCTTGAACCTCTCCCAAGAATAACAAAAGGAATTCTCTTAAGTTACTAGCGTTGGTTTGATTGCGTCATAGTGAATTATTGAATAAAGTATTAATTGTTTGGTTTTATTGATAAATTTAATAAGATCATTCCAAGCTTTCTCATAAACAGATGAAGCATTTGGAATGGAAATGGTCTGTCAAATTGTATTGCTGGTCTTCAATACATGTGTTGTGATGAAACTATTGAATAAAACATTGTTTCATTTCGTTAATGATAATGATAAGATCATTCCAAGGCTTACTTATATCAAAGATTATGTTCACTAAATATTTAAAAATTTGCTGTACTTAATTAGGATCAATCACACATTTAGCAAAATCATGATCATACATACAGTAACAAGTATTCACTTTATTATATAAAAAGGTGATTATACAAAGGAAAAGTACACGCCCACATAAAATATTGTGCTAGAGACACATCAAGCTACCGCTGGTGACCATTATATTGCTAATAATTAGGTCCAAGTAATTAACAAAGTCATACTTCAAGAAAGGGTTCAACAACTAATGACAATATTTGCCTCTTAATGTCTCCATCTTGAATTCCAAAACCATCACCATTCTGGTAAAGAGTATGTGCCACACAAGCAGCACTCATGGCTTGGTATACAAATGCTTGTTGTGAAGCATCTAGAGTACTGAAGCACTGTTCATTTATCTTCCATGTTCTCTTTATCATTGCTTCAATGTGCTTTCTTGCTGCTTCCTCTGACACATCCATTTGATTCATATAACACAATATTGATGACGCTGCATCACCTCTCTCTGCATCACCTCTCTCTCTTTCGGCCTGTCATAAAAAAATGTCTAATTTCATAAGAACACATATTGATAAAATCTTTGAAGAAGCAAATTAAACCTTACCACTGTAGTTCCGAGATCATTGCAGAGACGAATTATGAGAGAAACATTGAAGATCAAGTCGTGATTTCTGAGCAGAAAATTGTTGATATGATGTGTTGGTTGATACAAAGTAGCAAAATATGCATGCAATAGAATCATTGGTCCTGAAGATGAAATCCAAGCGTTGTTGAGATATTCTTCCAAATATGGTATGTAACTCTCTTTGTACCACTTTGCTTCCACGTATGAAGATTTGCAAAAGTCTTTCCACTACAAAAAAATTAAAAAACAAAACAGAACCATGAATTTGTCATTCAAAATTAGATAAGAGAAAAGAAAATAAACGGAAATTATATGATTTCTCTCAATTGATCAGTTTAAAGTTCGGTTCAGAAAGTTTAAAATTAAGAAGACAAAAAGGTTAGAGTTGTTACTGCTTGCTTGATGTAAGGTAAGACTTTGTCAACGCTGTTTCGTGCAGCAATTTCATGAGCAGTTTCCGTGGTCACATCATTGAGTGCTTGGAAGCAAATCCCCATGTAGTCTGGTAGATTTTCAAGTTCTTTAGCATCCCACCTGAAAATAAAATGACAAGCACGTGAAAAAAATATAATTTTAAAAACAAAAATGTTTGACTTGACTTTGACTATCAGACAACTCTCAACTCATTCATTTTTTTTTTAGTACAAAGCCACGGATGAATTGTGCAAAAGATAGCTTAGATTAAATCAAGACCCATGAACCGACGACACCCTAAATGTGAGACGTCATACAATAAAGTGTGTATTTTCTCTCATTCGTTTTAATCATGCTCTTCTTCAGTTGTTATATTGACCACTTTTTCTTTTTTATTTTTTTTTTTTAATATTTTGAGTGGTTCTCATGTAATCTGGTTCCAATGGTTCAGATAACCTTGACACCGACCACTCACTGCTTCTTATTAATGTTTACATATGGATAACCGTTCAATGGCCATACTTTTTTATCACTGCTAGTGGTTTATGTGCTTGTGATTTTGTTTTTTTAACTAGATTTCATACATTTTTAAAAAATTCAATTTTTTCTTAATATCATTAAAAAGATAAGATACTCCTTATGTTAAAAAATATAAAGCATTTTTAATCAAATTTAATCCCTAATAAAGTAGTTACTTACTTTCTAACTAACCTCATCTTTTTATATTTACATCTATTAAATATGCTGTAATAAATATAAAGTGATTATCAATAATGACACTTTTTAAAAAAAGCGATAATTACACCTCGAAAGATTAAAAATGTCTTACATTTTTAAACATCTAATTCTTCAAAAATGTATTATATTTTTGAATGGAGGAATTATGTCTTAAATATTTTCTCATAAACAACACATAATTTATCTTATATTAATCAAAAAAGAATAAAATTAAAAAAATTGTTTAAATATTACAAGATATTCTTTCGTAAATACACTTTAGACCAAAAATTTGCTTTAGAAGGTGTCATGGGGAATAAATTTAAATAATTTTTTGTCGAGACTTTTCGATTAATAAATAATAAAAACACGACAATAATTAATATATATACGAAAGAAACCTGTAACGCAAATTTTAGGTTGCCAAGGCCGGTTAAAAACTGTAAATTGATTTTTTTTGGGATTTTGGTTCGACAATGAGCATATGCCCACACGTCACATCTGACGTGCGCGCCCCTTCTGGCAATCAGATGACCACTCATTATTAGCTAAACAACTGTTTACTGGCCCTTTTTTTTTTTTTTTTTCCCACTTGTATGATTCTCACTAATATAATATTTTATTTATTAAAAAATATGAAATATTTTTAATTAAATTTTATTTTTAATAAAATAATTATTTATTTTTAAATTAATCTTAATTTTTTATATTTATCTCTATTAAACACTTTATAATAAATATAAAATTATTATTACTAGAGGTATCTTTTAAAAAAAATAATAATTACACCTCAAAAAATTTAAAAATGTCTTATATTTTTAAATATTTAACTCTTTAAAAAATATTTTATATTTTTTAATAAAAAGAGTACACTTTTTTTAGATTAATTATCTGCATGTGATTTTTTTTTTCCAACTAGATATAGACTTGTTGAGTGTGCCAAAAGGTTCTTTTTTTTTTTAACTCCTTAAAGAATGAAAACATGATAATATTTGATAATAACCTTTGTTTTTGTTTCATGAAAGCCTATGTTTTTGTTTTTGGGATTTTGGTAAGACAATTAGCATTTGCCCACTTGACGTCACATCTGACATGCGTACACCTTCTAGCAACTAGATGACCACTCATCATTAGCCAAATAACTGTTTAATGGCCTCTTCTTTTTTTTTTTTTCACTTGTATGATTCTCAAAAATACAGTACACTTATTTTGGATTAATTATCTGCATGTGATTTTTTTTTTTGCAACTAGATATAGACTTGTTAATTGTACGAAAAGGTCCTTTTTTTTTAACTCCTTAAATAATGAAAACATAGTAATATTTGATAATTAAACAAAAACAAACCTATCAACTGCGAGTATGAACTGCTTCAATTCTTCAAATGAGGCATACACATCATAGATATCATCGATGACCAACACAAAATTGATGACTTTGGTGAGCCATTTTCTCAAATATTTGAACTTTGGTTCGGAAGACACGCATGCTGCACACATGAAGCTCTCAACCAATCTATTCCTTGCAAACCTCAACTCTTTTTATAAGCCAAGATTCTTCCACCACCTATAAATTAAAGCATCATAAAATCAAACAATCAGAAAATAGAGATATGAGTTAATTAATTAACTATTTATAATCAAGACTAGCCAGCTACCTTGATAATTCCTTCATTTCCTTCTGAAGATTGGCCTGGATAATGTTGAAGTTTAATTTTGCTAGTTCAAGCAAGACATGATTCATATGGTTTTTCTCAAATTCTTTGATGCATCATTTTACTTGAAACCACTGAACTCTCCAATGAGAAGGAAGCTCCAAGGCATGATGGACCACTTGGTTTGAATCGTGTAGCTTAGTGGAAGCATCCTTGAGAGAATTGACAGCAAATGTTCTGACCTCTTCTAAGATATTTTCTCTTTCCAAACCCAAATGTGAGGCCTCAAGAAGCTCAATTAAGCCTTTGATATGCCTTGAAAATGATGATTTCTTCACCTCATTCTCCTTTCCAGATAAAAATATTGTACCGAGTTCATCTGTGTTTTCACCACACACATCACAGGTTATTTTGATAGGGGTTATATAAATTAAAAATTAGTTTTTGCATTTTCAATTAAGCTGTTACACATAATTTAATTGACTAATCAAACGTGAACTTGTACCTGTGTATTTGTATGTGTGTGTTTGTGCGGGGCTAGATTATGATTGATTGGAATTGCCACAATTTTTTTTTAATTTGAACCAAAAACTGTTTTACTAAAATCATGTAAAAAAGTAGTAGTTTAGATTTTGAAAAAAATATTTAATATGCTATTTTAATACTAGCATTGTTCTTTAATTTGAGTGTGTTTTTTTTCCTATTTTTGCAATAGAATATATAAGTTTGGTATTATGTCGTACGTACCCCCTTAAATCATTTCATGTGAATCTTTAATTGAGTAGAATATTTATAAAGCATGACCAATCTTTGTGGGATCCACAGACAGTGTGCAAAGAGACTTACCAGGTGCAACTTCATATCCGTTCTGCCTTAGAATCCTGAAGCATTGTGCTTTGAAATAAACATGTTCATGAACCCTGATATTGTTATTATTCTTAACCGAGATTAGGGTTTCTATAGCCTACTTTATTTCTTCCTGGAAATGATTGGCCAGACCAAGACTTTGAATGGTAGATATCAACTCCAACTTGGGCAATGGTGCAATCTCTTCCACAAGCAGACTTTTTGCTTCTTTAGTCTTCGTCTCTAACCTCATGCCAAATTCTTCATTCTGTGTACATTTACACAGCAATAAATTAAGTGAGTGGGTATAAATTATTGTGATTCAATCAAGAAGGTCTAGCCGCCTCTATCATTTACATAAGGGAAAAACATAACTATTAGTTCTGTGTTTTCGTATAGGTCTAACCAGTAGTTGTGTTTAACCTTTTTATATAGGCAACATACTATATTCAAAGTAAAATTGAAGTAAAAAAAAATTGAAATAAACAAAT